CCACTCACAGGATGAGTGGCGCTGCCCAATACTGTCACTATGGCGGTGTGTCCACTCACATGATGAGTGGCGCTGCCCATTACTGTCACTATGGCGGTGTGTCCACTCACAGGATGAGTGGCGCTGCCCAATACTGTCACTATGGCGGTGTGTCCACTCACAAGATGAGTGCCGCTGCCCAATACTGTCACTATGGCGGTGTGTCCACTCACAGGATGAGTGGCGCTGCCCAATACTGTCACTATGGCGGTGTGTCCACTCACTGGATGAGTGGCGCTGCCCAATACTGTCACTATGGCGGTGTGTCCACTCACAAGATGAGTGGCGCTGCCCAATACTGTCACTATGGCGGTGTGTCCACTCACAGGATGAGTGACGCTGGCCAATACTGTCACTATGGCGGTGTGTCCACTCACAGGATGAGTGACGCTGCCCAATACTGTCACTATGGCGGTGTGTCCACTCACAGGATGGGTGGCGCTGCCCAATACTGTCACTATGGCGGTGTGTCCACTCACAAGATGAGTGCCGCTGCCCAATAAACTCGCCCCTCGGGGCAAAATTTAATTTTAAAATCTCTCGGACACTGCCCCACGTCATCAATGGTATAGGAGGAGATTTTTAGGCAACATTTGTTTTTTTCCGGTCATTGATGTTGATGTAGTCCGTCGGTGATTAGGTAACCTGGTTGGCGGAGGTCGTGGAGTCGTTTCACCAGGCTATTACTGTACCCAACAAGTCCCAAGCACCAATCCAGAGGGTGGGAGAGAGGCTGGACCTCTCCCCCGTCTAGCCGCGGTGCCTAGCCTCATCCACCCCTATGGGACCCTTCTCATTCCACCTGTTGATGCTGTCTTGGTCTACTCCAGCAGCCAGGCTCGTGGGGACACAGGCTCGTGGGGACACAGGCTCGTGGGGCCACAGGCTCGTGGGGCCACAGGCTCGTGGGGCCACAGGCTCGTGGGGCCACAGGCTCGTGGGGCCACAGGCTCGTGGGGCCACAGGCTCGTGGGGCCACAGGCTCGTGGGGCCACAGGCTCGTGGGGCCACAGGCTCGTGGGGCCACAGGCTCGTGGGGCCACAGGCTCGTGGGGCCACAGGCTCGTGGGGCCACAGGCTCGTGGGGCCACAGGCTCGTGGGGCCACAGGCTCGTGGGGCCAGGCTCGTGGGGCCAGGCTCGTGGGCCCAGGCTCGTGATTAACTGGAGCAGGATTCCTCAAGCATTTACTCAACCACTTACGAAACCTATATATCTTTCTTCCATCAAGGCGGCTGTTTTGTACATTAATTAAACAGTTTATGACTTCCGAGGCGCTACGTTATTAACTATAACAACCTCAAACGATGCACAGTGAAATCACACGAACGCGTGGCCTGCGGACGACTCGAAAAGGACGCAAGTTCGATCCCATTCCACTACCCCAATATTTACTCCAGCTGACAAATCTCCGCGGGCACAGGGCATCGCCTGGGGCACGAGTGAGGCCCTAGGAGGCACTAAGAGTGAGAGGAAGGCACCCCGGTAGGCTGTTGGCACTGTAGCCTGCTTCAGTCTTTACCTTAGTGGGCTTCGTCTTAGACATGTGATGATGATGGTTGTGCTCATCAAGATAACCTCAAGATAGATCATGTGTTGGAAGCAACATATGATAAATCTCTCATAAAAGACCCCCTCCCCCCTTAGCCCCCCATTCCCTCTCCCCCTCCCCCCCCCACCGTCACGTCACCCCACCTCCCCCCCCCCCATTCATACCAGCTTCACAAGCTCAGTCAATTGGCACCGGGGTTAAATGTTTGGAGCCCCAAAGGCGTGTAATGGGGGGGGGGGGTTTCAGGGAGTTATTCACATTATGAGTGGTAGAGCGGAGTGTGTCCTCATTAACATGTGCCTCCCACCAGTGAGGGGGGGAGGGGGGGAGGGGGGAGAGGAGGGGGGGGGAGAAGCTTAAGGGGGGGGGAGAAGCTTAAGGGGGGGGAGAAGCTTAAGGGGGGGGGAGAAGCTTAAGGGGGGGGGGAGAAGCTTAAGGGAGGGGAGAGAAGGAAATAGAATATAAAATGGGAAGGAAGAGGAGAGGAGGAAGGCGTGGAAAGGGAAGGCGAAAAGGAATCTAGTGGAAAAGATGAGGGAAAGAACTAGCGGGAAAGCTAAATTCCTCTGTATGGATAACTACAAACACCCTCACACTAACCTCACACTCAAGCACTCACACTAACCTCACACTCAAGCACTCACACTAACCTCACACTCAAGCACTCACACTAACCTCACACTCAAGCACTCACACTAACCTCACACTTAAGCACTCACACTAACCTCACACTCAAGCACTCACACTAACCTCACACTCAAGCACCCACCCATCGGTTATGAGTCGTGTGTAAACCGCTTTTCATTCATAAACAGGGTGGTGGGTGGGTTTGGTGGCTGGATTAACGAGCTTGGATCTTTCTATACGAGGACGAGCTGTGTTGTGAAGAGGTCCAGGATGGATCGAAACGTCGTGAGGGTGTAGAACAGCTCCAAACATCGCCACTTTCATGTCATATATATATATATATATATATATATATATATATATATATATATATATATATATATATATATATATATATATATATATATTAGTATATTTTGGTAGCAGTCTTTCCTGTAGACATATATTATTAAATATGACCGAAAAAGTAAGATTAATAATTCTAACACGAATTTTCTCAATCTTTCGTACATTACGCTTCACTGTTGGAGGTAAATCAAAAATCACTTCTCCAAAATTCATTTTTATTTCTAGACTAGAAATAAAAATGAATTTTGGAGAAGTGATTTTGATTTACCTCCAACAGTGAAGCGTAATGTACGAAAGATTGAGAAAATTCGTGTTAGAATTATTAATCTTACTTTTTCGGTCATATTTAATAATATATATATGGGGGGTTGGGTCATGTGTGTGTGTGTTCAGCCACGTTATTGTGGCTTGCTCTCCGCATCACACAAGACGGTCAACATAATGATATAACGTCTTCATCTATGCAGAAAACAGTACGTTGTTTAAAGTCAATATATTCCCCCTCTCGCCTCCACATGCAATCTAGGCGATCTGTAACTTGCAATTTTTGCATTCTCAAGTTTCTTGCACTTCTGTTCAATATTGATTAATTAAAAACAAAAAAATATTTAAATTTCTCTTAAGTAGTGTTGGGGGGGGTGTAACCTAGCAGGTGCTATGGGTGGCGAACCCCACATTAGGGGGGGGAGCGAGGCCCACATTAGGGGGGGAGGGGGGAGCGAGGCCCACACTAGGGGGGGGGGCCAGCAGTGCCAACATGGGCATCCACTACACTTTGTTTACAGTGTGGGATCACGGAGAGGGGGTATGGGGGTGTTGAGAGGGGGGGGGGGTGATGGTTAGGGAGGGAAAAAAAGTGATCAGGGAAGGTAGGTGGTGGGGAGGAGAAAGAGGGTGGCGGGGGATGAAAGAGGATGGTGGGGGATGAAACGGGGGGTGGCAGGGGAAGAAACGGGGGGGGGGGTGGAGGGGGGAAAAAAACGGGGGGGGGGTGGAGGGGGAAGAAACGGGGGGGGGGGGTGGCGGGGGAAGAAACGGGGGTGGGTGGGGGAAGAAAGGGGGGGGGGGAACGGAGAGGGGTGGCGGCGCTCAACAGGACGTCCCAGACAGGATAGGCCACGCATGGTGGGGGCAGTGGTGGGGTTATGTGGCCCATGTTGAGGGTGAAGGGAGATGTGGGGGAGGGTCAGGCTATGTGGGGGTAGAGGAAGCTATGTTGGGGTAGAGGAGGCTATGTGGACGGGGAAGGACAGGCTATGTGGTTGGGGGGAAAGGATATGAACTATCAACACTAGTGGCGATTTAGGAAGGGGAGTTGAGGGGGGGGGGGTTGAGACGGCTATGTGAGAAGAGGGGAGGTCCCCCTACACAGGGACCTTCCCCCTGGTGTAGGGGAGGTCCCCCAACCCAGGGACCTTCCCCCTGGTGTAGGGGAGATCCTGTGTGTGGGTGTAACAGGTGGGGAGCAGGTGGGCCGTGTCAGCCACTGAGGCAGGTGTGGGGATGGGGGGGGGATGGGGAGGGGGATAGACGGTCTCCACTCATCAACGTCACCCATCCTTATCGCTAACGATGTTCTAGAGCGGCCACCCGCCCACCCTCACCCACCATCCTTAACCCCAACTTTATCGTCGGTAGCATTTAGTGTGTGGGTGTGTGTGTTGGGGGGTGGGGTGGGGGGGTGTAACAGCAGTAACACGCGCGCCTTATCAGGCGACACGCGCACCTGTGACAGGTAACATTCCAAAGGTGCGCAGTCCGCGGCGCTCCTAGCATCTACCTGTCCGGTTCCTCGGGCTCATCACTGTGTTATAAACGAGGTCCCATTAAAACAACTACCAAGCCACACCGGCCTGCCCCCACCGCCGCCCGCCGCCCGCCGCCCACACAAGGGCCCGTGTGTAGGGGCGGGATAAGGGCGCAGGTGGCGTGGAGGGCGCGGCAAGTGGCGCCTCGCTCACACGCCTCCGTCTGCTCCTCTCAACTTCACCCGCGTGCGAACTCCAGGTGGGTCTCTGGCCTCTCACCCCCCACTACCACCTCCTGCACCCCCTCCCTCCCTCCCCGCCCCAACCCTCCCCACCAGCCCCCCCACCCTCCCCAATCACCGCCACAACCACCCATCAACAAAACACACCGAACGAAAAAAAAAGAAGCCAGAATCTTAAAGTCGGAGATGAAGCCAAGAAACAAAGGGTTGAGACAGGGGGGGGGGAGAGTGAGTTGGCGTGGAAGTGACAGTGTTGCCAAATTGGTGTGGTTGCTGGCGTGACGGGCAATTTGACAACGCCGCGGGCCGCCCGTCGCGAGGCCAGAGGGGGGGCACCCTCACGCCCGCACGCCCAAACTCCCTCTCCTGCCTCTCAAAATCCACCCAGATCCGCCGAGGTGTTGGGCGTAAACACCAGGAATCCAAGAGGAGGAGGAGGCGGGAGATGGCAAGAGGCCGGGCAGCCTCCACCAGCGGCGACGCTCTCCTTATTTCTCACTCTGGTGCCCCGTGTGTCACTCCTCCTGCTCCTCTCCTCTCCTCTTTTGTCCCTCCTTGCTGCCTCAAACTTCTTCTCCTTCTCCTCCTCCTTGCTACGTTCAACCTCTCCGCCTCCTCCAATCTTCCCGTCGAAGTGACAGGACAAGGCCCTGGCAGGACAGGTTGGTCGCTTCGCCGGTGTAAGGTAGGAAAAAGGTAGGATAGGGCAGGGGTAGGGTAAGGAAAGGGCCTGGATGGGGTAGGGCAGGGATAGGCTGAAGAGGTTGGCTAAGGATGAGGTAGGGCAAGTATGGGGTTAGGGCAAGTATGGGGTTAGGGCAAGTATGGGGTTAGGGCAAGTATGGGTTAAGGCAAGCATGGGTTAAGGCAAGTATGGGTTAAGGCAAGTATGGGTTAAGGCAAGTATGGGTTAGGGCAAGTATGGGTTAAGGCAAGCATGGGTTAAGGCAAGTATGGGTTAAGGCAAGTATGGGTTAGGGCAAGTATGGGTTAAGGCAAGCATGGGTTAAGGCAAGCATGGGTTAAGGCAAGTATGGGTTAGGGCAAGTATGGGTTAAGGCAAGCATGGGTTAAGGCAAGCATGGGTTAAGGCAAGCATGGGTTAAGGCAAGCATGGGTTAAGGCAAGCATGGGTTAAGGCAAGCATAAGTTAAGGCAAGTATGGGTTAAGGCAAGCATGGGTTAAGGCAAGTCTCTGGAGCTTTTCCTACTCTCCGAGCCCAGCCTGAGGCCAGGCTAGATGGGGTAAGGCTGGGATGAGGAAGAACAAGGTAAGAAAGGGAGGGGTAGGGTAGGGCAATGTGGGAAAAGCAAGGATGGGAATAAGGCAAGGAAAGAATAGGGCAGCCAGGGATGGGGAAGGGTAAGAATGGAATAGGCAGGGGTATGGGGTAAGGGAATCCCTCCAGGGGAGGGGGAGGGGAGAGGAGGATATCAACAGCAACGCAAGAGGTAACAAATGATCGGCCGTTGGGTTGTTTCAAGCTTAGGTCACACATTTATGAACTCTCTCCCCCCCCCTTTCTCTCACATAGAAAATGTATTATTATAAGGTACTAGAAAATCACTAAAGCCTCTTCAGAAAACATATCCCCAATTTCAGACTTCATGAAAATTGCAGGGAGTCCTACAGGAGTCGATATTTCTTAAACGGTGGCACTGGGGCCAACCCCCAACTGGCCTTTGACGTTCCCATACCCCCAAAGTGTCATCTTGGAAAGCTGGGCGAGGTTAGTCAACCACCATTGACACGACCATTGACCACCTCCCCCCCAAATATCTGGCCTCCGTTCTTGGGCAGACAGGCAAAGATTCTCTCCGATCTTGAGGTTATCTTGAGATGATTTCGGGGCTTTTTAGTGTCCCCGCGGCCCGGTCCTCGACCAGGCCTCCACCCCCAGGAAGCAGCCCGTGACAGCTGACTAACTCCCAGGTACCTATTTACTGCTAGGTAACAGGGGCATTCAGGGTGAAAGAAACTTTGCCCATTTGTTTCTGCCTCGTGCGGGAATCGAACCCGCGCCACAGAATTACGAGTCCTGCGCGCTATCCACCAGGCTACGAGGCCCCTATAAACTGTTGCATTTAATGAAATGCATTTGGGGTGGATATAAATAGGTGCTGCCTCTTGTGGCCCAATAGGCTTCGTGTTACTGGACACCCCACAACGAAGAGAGCCTCGGGTGAAAATTAAGTACTATGAGAATCAGTAATATTACTAAACAAAAATTATATCAGTGGTGACCTAAGAGCTATTTTTCTATCCCATGAAACGTAGCGTTTAGATATCTTGCGCCAGATTCACGAAGCAGTTACGCAAGTACTTACGAACGTGTACATCTTTCCTCAATCTTTGAAGTCTTTGGTTACATTTATTAAACAGTTTACAAGCATGAAAACTTGCCATTCAACTGTTGTTATTGTTATAAACAGCCTCCTGGTGCTTCGGAGCTCATTAACTGTTTAATAATTGTAAACAAAGCCGCCAAAGATTGAGAAAAGATGTACAGGTTCGTAGATGCTTGCGTAACTGCTTTTGTGAATCTGGCCCCAGGTTCGTGAAGAATTTAGAACATTGAACACAGCCTTTGACGTAACCGACACTAAACCATCTTTCAAACGACATCAACAAGAAAATATGCAAAATGAAACGAGGAAAATGTCGTGAAGCGTAGAAAAAGACCTGTTTCGTTCCTGTGGTGGACATGTGGGCCTGCGAGCCGCTCCAAGCAACAGCCTGGTGGACCAAACTCTCACAAATCAAGCCTGGCCTCGGGGCCGGGCTTGTGGAGTAGAAGAACTCCCAGAACCCCATCAAGTAGGTACAGTCCAGGTACAATCCAGCAAGAAACAGTAAGGCCGACGGACATGAACTAACATCGTCTCTTGAATGAATGGAACGGAAGATGCAGTTTCAGCGAGCGATAAAAATATATATCTAAACTATACAACAATTTGCCAAGTTACTTCACACATATCCAAAAGCCAATGAAGTACAAAACACGTGAGACCAAGGAATCGAAGCATTAAACGCCCGATAAAGGATAATATTTACATAATATTTACATTCTCTTGGGCCGCATTCTCCATAAAGCCACTAATCTCTACCTTGCAAGACATAGATTGCAAGTCTCCCGCCCCCCACCACCCCCCTTCCCACACCCCCAAACCACTCCTCCCCAATAAACAGTGTCACAAAACAATGTCCACGCACCCTCCCCCCACAACACACCTCTTAACAGGCAGTGTGGGGCCTCATCCATCAGTACTGCAACCATCCTTGAGACGCACCACGGAGAGCCAGGGATAATGGCTGTGATTTGTGGACCATATTCAAGTGGGTTTGGCTAACCCTTCACACACACACACACACACACACACACAAACTACTGCCATTACTAATTCCCATTCAATGTCCTCTATTACACAATCACAACTGCCACAACCACCATTGACACGACCACAACTAACACGGCTATAACTACACCCACCACCGACAACCACCCCCCCCCCTAGCAGGAGAGCAGTTAAGCCATTGTCTCCGACCCGAAGCCGATCAGAATTAGCAGTCAGGCAAGGGCATGGAAGCAATCATACCCGCCATTGATTCAAAGTTCTTTTCAGATACCATCAGTAGGCTGCTTGCCTGCGCGCGCTGCTTCATTCCACATGGAGACCCATACGCCAGGCATTAGGATGCCACCACCGACTCTAACTGTCGACCGCTGGCGACTCCATGCCTCCTAGCCCACACACTAATGTTCCAGAGCTTGAGTTCCGAGGTGAGCCGAAGAGCCACAGTACCTGGAGTGGCTTCCAGCAGTTGTTCGACTCCCCAAGCCCGGCCTGGAGCCCGGCCTAGAGCCCGGCCTGGAGCCCGGCCTAGAGCCCGGCCTAGAGCCCGGCCTAGAGCCCGGCCTGGAGCCCGGCCTGGAGCCCGGCCTGGAGCCCGGCCTGGAGCCCGGCCTAGAGCCCGGCCTGGAGCCCGGCCTAGAGCCCGGCCTAGAGCCCGGCCTGGAGCCCGGCCTGGAGCCCGGCCTGGAGCCCGGCCTGGAGCCCGGCCTGGAGCCCGGCCTAGAGCCCGGCCTGGAGCCCGGCCTAGAGCCCGGCCTGGAGCCCGGCCTGGAGCCCGGCCTAGAGCCCGGCCTAGAGCCCGGCCTGGAGCCCGGCCTGGAGCCCGGCCTGGAGCCCGGCCTAGAGCCCGGCCTGGAGCCCGGCCTAGAGCCCGGCCTGGAGCCCGGCCTGGAGCCCGGCCTAGAGCCCGGCCTAGAGCCCGGCCTGGAGCCCGGCCTAGAGCCCGGCCCGGGCTTGTAATAACTTAATATCTTGCTACCAGCCCACTAACACTAACCAGCTCGTCATACTGAAGCACCAACACACCAGTCTAATACCAACGGCGTCCTGGAATACACAATGACGGTGTATGAGGTATACTTACGGCAGTGTAAGCCACTCGGGGGTACTGATTCTCAATCTCCATGGGAATCGAACTCTCACACACGCTCTCGCATAACGCTCTCATGCACTCTGCGCCACAATATTTTACATGATTGTTCTTCTGGACAATATCTTACATGATTGTTCTTCTGAACAGGAATGTGCTTGGGAGTGGATTGTTCTGGGGTGGAGGAAGTGGGGGGTGTACTGGGGGTGTACTGGAAGTGGAGGTGTAAGATGTACTGGGGGTCGGGTGTACTGGGGGTTCCTACCGACTAAATTTAACAGTAAAGTACTCAACTGGGGTGGAGGTGTGTACTGGGGTACTGGGAGTAGGACGAGAGTACTGGGGGGTACTGGATGAACCAGATACGCGAGGCATGGAAGAGTAGTGGAACAGAAATAGGGCACACTCAGTGCAGTTAGGTTGTAGCAGTTACAGCAGAGCAGTTGCTAAAATTACAGCAAGAGCCGGAAAAAAGATGGAGTGGTGTAATAGCAGAATGATGGAAGAGAGGAAGAGACGAAGAAAGGAGGGAGGGAGAAGAGCGAGAGGGGAAGGGAGGGAAAGGAAAATGGCAGGAAGGCAGTCAGGCTTGAGTAGCCGTCAGGAATGGCATCGTGTCGGGCGAGAATGAGAATTAGACAAGAAGCAGTTAATCAAATGTGTTCGGCACAAGACAAAATGGTGGTGGTCAGGGGGGGGGGAGGAAAAGGAAGGGAGGATGACGCAGAATAGGAGCAAAAGGGAGAGGGAGGGAGAGAAGGCTAGGTACCTTTCCAACCAGCAACGTGTGTCGGCCAGGATGGCAGAAATGGGGAGGAGAGTTTGGGCTTCAAGGCCGGGCCGCTCTACTCACTACAAACTTCACTTCACTGTTCTGCCTCATATCTCCGTTAACACTGCGGCCCCAGGGACACACACACACACACACACACAGGGGAAGGTTAGGTAAGGTTACAGGTACCTAGGTACAGGTATCCACTACAGCTGGTGGTGGTAGAATACATGCGGTAGGTATGGTTGGGGGGTAGGAAGGTGGTCCTCCACAGGTGGTGCTAGGAGCAGCGTGCTGTATGGCAGGTAGGGAGCTGGTCGGCCGAGCGGACAGCACGCTGGACTTGTGATCCTGTAGTCCTGGGTTCGATCCCAGGCGCCGGCGAGAAACAATGGGCAGAGTTTCTTTCACCCTATGCCCCTGTTACCTAGCAGTGAAATAGGTACCTGGGTGTTAGTCAGCTGTCACGGGCTGCTTCCAGGGGGGTGGAGGCCTGGTCGAGGACCGGGCCGTGGGGACACTAAAAAGCCCCGAAATCATCTCAAGATAACCTCAAGAAGGTGGTTCTGATCCACTTAAACTCAATACTAAGACGGGCCAGATGAGGGGGGGAAGGGAGGGGGGGGGGGGTAGTTGACAGTAAGCCTGGCCAGGGTGTTCTACACGAGTAGAGAACAGACAGGTACACGGCACTATCACTTGCCTAATTAAACTTGGCCTGAGGATGCAAATGGCCGGCCAGAGACGGCCGCAAGAGACCCAATTTGTGCAAATCGTTTATAGGTAAATAAGTATAACATTCAGTTTTGTTTTAAAGATCTTGTTCTGTACTACTGAAACACTTGTTCACTAAGAATTGTACTGTATAATTACCTTGTAACACTTATGTATATCTAATTTATATTGTATTTTTTTAAATAAAGATAAAAAAAAAGATGACCCCAAGAGGGCTGTAGGCAGGTACCTTTTATTAATTACTTTATCACATTACCACCTTCTGCCGCGCGCTGATGCTGCACCAGCACATCCCTACACACCTGTACCCCCAGGTGTATTTTCCTGGAGTGGGCCCTGGAAGCTCCCCCGCCCCCCACGCTCGTCCTGGGGTTAGGCTTAGCTTCTGATGACTTGGTCCAACAGGCTGCTGATTGCAAAGCTACACACTTTAATATTAATCGCTGACAATTTTGCCAAGCTCAATGTACCACCTTTCACCCCCCTCCCCCCTATTTACCTATTTACTGCTAGGTAACAGGGACATCAGGATGAAAGTAACTCTGCCCATTTGTTTCCGCCTCCACCGGGGATCGAACTCGGAACCTCAGGACTACGAATCCGAAGCGCTGTCCATTCAGCTGTCAGGCCCCCCCCTTTCTTTCTCCACCCCGTCTGATGCAAAGGTCGGACCCATGAGCTGAAGGTCGATCCTAAAGGCCAACGCACGCACCACACACACACACACACACACACACACACACACACACACACACACACACACACACACACACACCACACACACACACACACACACACACACCCCCCTTCACCTCGGGAGATCCTGCCCACACACGTGCCCAGTACCTCGTGGGTATTCCATTGTTTGGCTGCATGCTTGTTTCCCAGGCCTCAGGAGGTGGTGGCAGGGAAACTTCCAGTATTTCCCAGGCCTCAGGAGGTGGTGGCAGGGAAACTTCCAGTATTTCCCAAGCCTCAGGTGAAGAATCTTCACCACCACTCAACATAATTTAGGGCCCAAAGTCTATCAAGAAATCAAATAGAAGGGTCAATTTACCTGAAAGGGGGGACGTAGCAAGTAGAGACATACAACACCTGTAGAGGGTTCAGAGGTCCTCTACAGTATAAGTCCTCTACACATCCTGAAGGAGACCGTCTTAACAACTGCTGAGTGTGCCCCAGAATCTCTGCCAACTACTCAGCAAACAAGCTTGTCAAGTAATCTAAAGAAACGCCCAAACACCGTCATTTCTCCCGAGAATGAGTAGTTAGGCTAGGCCTGGTCGACGACCGGGCCGCGGGGACGTTAAGCCCCGGAAGCACCTCGAGGTAATCTTAGCGTTAGTTAGGAGGAACGACAAGGAGACGGTGAAGGAGGAGAAAGAGAAGGGGACGAGGAGGAGGAGAAGTGAGGGGTGTCTGTCAATTGAGGGGCAACAGACAGAAGCAGCAATTGAACAACGGCAACTGCTGTGGAGATAAGAGAGGGATGGCGGCAGGGACGGAGGTGGCTAGGGGATGGAGGATGAGGATAGGGGATCGGCAATTAGTGTATGCTATAGGAAGGATATGATAACTGGCAGGTGGACCACATCAGGCTCCCTCACCATCCTCTGCACTCGAAGAGACAAGAGGCAACAGAGGTGCTAGCCTGCATGCAGGCCAGGGAGGACTGCACCCACTAGAGGCCACCTAGAGGCCACCTAGAGCCACTAGAGGCCACCTAGAGCCACTAGAGGCCATCTAGAACCACTAGAGGCCACCTAGAGCCACTAGAGGCCACCTAGAGCCACTAGAGGCCACACCTAGAGCCACTAGAGGCCACCTAGAGCCACTAGAGGCCACCTAATGCCACAAGAGCCACCTAGAGTCATAGAGCAACATCTAGGAGATCATCTGTAATGAAGGAGGGGCGACTAATGGCACCTAAAGGCTGGGAAAATGCCCACTTCTTTGTCCAAGAGAAGGTGAGGGGGGTTAAAGTGGTTACCAAAGTGTGTTCCCTCCTTGTTTCCCCCCCAGTGGTGACCAGGGGGTGCAAGGGGCATCCAATAGGCCCCAGGGGTTGGTCCAACAAGTTCCAAGTAGCACGGGCTATGGTGAGCCCGCAACTTACCTGGCACAGGAGCGGTGCTGTGTGTCTGCGCAAGGTGCCACACGAGGAGCTAAGGAATGTCCATATAGTGAGGGCAGGAGGAGGGGGAAGAGGGAGAGGAGGAGGGGGGTAGAGGGAGAGGAGGAGGGGGGTAGAGGGAGAGGAGGAGGAGGAGGGGGAAGAGGGAGAGGCACCAACAAGCGTGGAATATAAGCGAAGAGGGGGGACTAATCGAGCGTGTAATACCCAACCTACCCGTCACAACACCCCCAACACCCACCACCACCCCCGCACCTACCCACCTGCTACCCCCCCACCTATCAGAAGGCCCGGTAAACCTGCTAGCCCTTCGTTCTGATGCCCCGGGTCTCTGTGCCCCAGGTCTCGTGCACCAGGTACTCGAGTCGTACCTTATTCCAAGTGCCAGCCTGGTAACTCTTCCAAACACTTATAACTCTTGTAAGACTTGTAACACTCTCTCTCTCGTCTCCTTTCTAATGAGTGCATTTGGAGAGCTTTGAGACGATCCCAATAATTTAGGTGTTGGAGACCACGCCGGGAACTTGGGTGTTTTACTGTGGGTCTGAGCTGTCTGTTGTCTGCTGTGTTGTGTTGTCTGCTGTGTTGTGTTGTCTGCTGTGTTGTGCTGTCTGCTGTGTTGTGTTGTCTGCTGTGACTGTGCTGTCTGCTGTGTTGTACTGTCTGTGTACTGTGTTGTGCTGTCTGTGTACTGTGTTGTGCTGTCTGTGTACTGTGTTGTGCTGTCTGTGTACTGTGTTGTGCTGTCTGTGTACTGTGTTGTGCTGTCTGTGTACTGTGTTGTGCTGTCTGTGAGTTTATGGGAGCCGGCGGCTGAGCGGACAGGACACTGGACGCGTGATCCTGTGGTCCCGGGTTCGATCCCGGGCGCCGGAGAAAAACCAATGAGCAGAGTTTCTTTCACCCTGATGCCACTGTTACCTAGCAGTAAATAGGTACCTGGGAGTTAGCCAGCTGTCACGGGCTGCTTCCTGGGGGTGGAGGCCTGGCCGAGGACCGGGCCGCGGGGACACTAAAAGCCCCGAAATCATCTCAAGATAACCTCAAGATACTCTGTATTCCCGCTATTTCAAGACACAAACTCCGTTCACAGCTTCAAAAGTAGACATGACAGAGCCCAATCGGCTTTGGAACCTACAAGCCAGCCCTCCCTCCCTAATCTTATCCCACAGTACTCATTCCAGTTCCCACCCCCAAGTACTCTAGTAATTACCCCCCCCCTTCCCCCA